CTTCACTAACAAAGACCTCTTCAACTATCAATGGTTGTATAATAATGTGTATTATTATTAATAATATTATCTTACCTGACGATATTGGTACAGTAGATGAGTTTGGTCCACTTGAATCAGTGACAGTATCAGACAATAAAGTATCTACAATGCAATCCTGTACAGTCAGTGCATTGTGATTCACACTATCATCTTACCACATTCTTTTAGTATGTCTTGTCCTATAGTCTTTGCTTCATCTGATTTCAGTAAGATGCCTCCTAATGCTCTCAATTTGTTATGATCTTCAGTTATTGAAGTCCGTATTTCTCTCAGTGTGTCTCCTAATAGGAAACCCCCAACACTCTCCACTCCAGTCCTGGTCTCATTTGATATCAGTCCCTCTGTACATAACAAATCAACTGACTCCTCACTGATGGACACTACTGACAGTCTAACACTGTAACGCTGGAATAACTCACTAGCTGGATCAGATACTATTGGAGGAGGAAGTAATAATTTGGATAGCAATAATTAAAAATAATAATTTTTTACCCACTATTATTCTATAACTTTTATGTCAATTATATATATGAGTTTATTTATTTTAAATTATACATAGAATTTTATTAAGTACAATAATTATTATTTTAATACTCAATGTCCTACGATAAAAATATCAGACAAATCAATGAAATGAGAAGCAAGATTTATTTCATAATTTTAGACACACGATAAAGCAGCTATCAAAATAATATTTTTGTTAAATTATCTGGTATATTCTGCTTCATTTCAGTATGCATGGTGAATGAAGAACATATAACATTCTTTGACTAATTCTTGTGTGATGCACTCAGTTTCTATGTTCTAATTGTCCATGCTTCATTATTAACAACACTTACATTTACTGATCTTTTCAGCTGATGATACTTCTCCAATTCTACGTAGTCCATTAGCCAGTGTGATCCAAGACAATGGTCCAGTTACATTATCTGCTCGAGAGAGCCATTTCTCTAGACACTCCATCAGGCAACGACTAGCTCCATCTCCTTTATAATCTGATTCAATTGTTTTCAGTGTCTGGAGGCTTAAACCAAGGATCATTCCTAACTTAAACCATTTAGCTTCAGTGAAACCACTCATTAGTAGCTCTTCACTTATCGCAGCTAATCTTTCCTTCTCTAAAGTAAACAATAGTAATAACTAATACAGCTTGATAAATCCACCACTAACCTAATGACACTAATGGTTGCCTTCTTCTAGCCATATCTACATCTGCCCACAGTACACAACCAATAGATCTACCCATCAGACTATTATTATGACAGGTGTGGCTGTTGTAAGGATTCTGTGGTTAGAATAGAGAAAAGACTTTTACATCCTTTATGCAACAGGTCAACAGTTGTCATACATTTTATTGTCAAAAAAAAAGAAACAAAAACTTACTCTGTATATACTGTATCTAAGTTTGAATCGTGATTCAATCCTGGCTTCCCACACTGCTGTGACATTTTTGATTATCTCTCATTCTCGTTATGTTTCAAACTGCTTTAAAGCTTGCAATGTGACTGTTATAGATCTATCTCTATTCAGTTGTGTGAAACATTTGTGATCTGAACCATGCTTAAACTTTCCGTAATGAGCATGTATGCATCCTTTTTCATTACAATACTTCAAACTTTTATTTTCAATCAAATAATTTGTAATTTTTGGTTTGGCTTTTGCGGCCAAAGTTTATAAATCTTTGAAATTGAATATTTTTTGTTCAAACTATTGTGTGTGTGTGTGTGATAAAAATAAATGCTGCATCTGATAAGTTCAAAAGCGTTAATATCTCCACCAGTTTACTCTGTTTTCAAAGTGGTAGTTAGAAAAAGTATTATCACAAGCTTTTTTGTGTCGATATTCAACCTTGAGTATTTTTATGCTTTCATTACTTAATAAAGACTGGAGAATGAGTAGTATTGACTCAGTAGACAATGAAGTCTTCCATAAATTCAGTTCAACTAGTGATGAGTTATTGAGGAGGAGGTGAGAAAGAGCCTGTCCACTAGTAGAAGTGATGAGAGGATTATCATAAAGATCTAATGAGGTAAGTGTAGAGTTGTGTTTAAGTGCCTGACAGATATTAGTAACTCCTCTATCACTAATGCAGTAGCCATTAATGACTAGTTCTCGTATTGTTTTATTATTAGTTAGTAGTGTACACAAGTACTGGATACAATCATTAGTTAATGGAGTGGTCCATATCACAAGTTTCCTTAGCTTTAGTGTATGCAGTTTAGTTGATGACAGCAGAGATACCGTACTATTAGTAGATGATGAGTTGAGTACAATCTCCTTATGATTATTATTAATAATACTATTCACTTCGTTAGACTGAACTGGAGATGGAGATTTAAGGTACACATGTACCCTGTCCCTATGACAATCAACAGTCCCATTGAATCCTATAGATAATGCCAAATAATGAGGCAATGATTAGGCTCTGTATATATGCATGCGAATATGTGTCTATGCATTTTCGCTATATTTGAAACAATTCACAAACAATTTATCAAATTGCATGATTTTTGATTACTTTCCCTAGCAAAATTTGAATAGATCTAACTAGGCAAGTAGCAAGAGTATGCTTATTATTTATAATAATAGTAAGTATACACTCTATGTACACTGTATATACTGTAATAATATTACCTTCATCATGCTGTTCCTTGTCTTGTCTCAGTGCAGATATCATAATAGGATCATCATTAATAGTCTCTAAGAAAAGAGAAACTTTCTCATCATTACTAGATGAATCATCCCTTATCTTCTGTAGAATAGGAAGGGACACTTCTTCCACTGACAGTATAAACTCTAAAAATTGAAGTAACTCCAACATCGAATAAACATAACTACTAAGAATGTATCCTTTATCACCAGACAACAAGGATTTTCCATACCACCAAAAACCATCACACTTTTGATATATCTTCAGCTGCTCTCCCTCAATGAATGACACTTCATCACTGTCAATTGCATGGTAATCAGAGTGAGCTATGATGTCAGATTCAGCGATTGTGTACACTGATCTTTCTCTATACAATAATCAATCAGTTAATGATTGAATTACTAACATATCAGTAATATCACATACTCTCAATAATTGCCTTTTGACTCATCAGTTGTACAGTTATTGATATATTTTCTTGTAGTAACTCAATCTCTTTCTTATACTCCACTAATGCCTCCTCTCTTCCTGTGATGAGGTAGTATAGACAGATTATACTAGTAGAGTCAGTACCTGCTTTCATTTGGAGAGAGGTTCGGAAACACTGAGTCTCTGATTTTT